TATCTTTTGATAACTTTTAGATCTATTACCAATCGCATATTGAGATCGTTTAACTCTACTATGAATTGAGTTTTGAATCTTACAAATTTTTAATGAGAGAATGAAACTGCCTTTCGTTTCCATTCATTTATAATTCTAACAGTTTTTATCGCCATACTAAAGGGTTATAACCTCCGATAATTTCATCTGTTCCCTTAACTTTTACTAAAACAACCGTACCAACGTGACCATAGCAAATATTCCAAAATGTTTGTGGGTCAAATCCAGTTCCACGTAAGATTATATGCAGTTCACAGTCAATCCAAGTAGAAATTTCGGCAGCATGTTCTTCAGAAATGATAGTCAAAAAAGATTTTCTTGGTTTTTCTGCACGAGGAGGGAATTCTATAACCAAAATTGATCTTGGTGGCAAAATAGTTGATTTTACTGGTCATTCAGGAGTAATTAGAAGATGATTGATATCTTTCCAAGGTTGTTTAATCTTTTTATATGGTTCAATTTTCTCAACGACTTCAGTATTTGAAAGATGAAAATAACGAATATAAGGTAGACATTATTGTAAAATAGTTTTTAAGGTAAGAAAATTTTCCATGGTCCAATCATCAAGGATTGTAGGAAGAGTAGAAGTTTGACCAATTCCCCACTTGATATCATGATCCCAAATTATAAATTCTTCGATTTGCAAATCATCTCGGTTGAGTCGAGAGAAGTAAAATCATCGGCATCAAGAATCAGATTTGGATACTTTACAATAATATCATTACAAAAACTTTTTAATTTTTTAAAATTGTTTCGACTAAAAATAGAATGATAAATAAAAGAAAAATGTGTTATCAACCAAGAACCTTTAGTTTCAATAAGTAAATTTCTAATTTTTTGAATTTTTTGGTCAATTCTTTAAGTTCAAATTCATCAGAAATTGACATTAAATCAAAAAATAAATTTAGTTTCGATGTTTTCCAAATTAATAATCCCTCCGTGTATATATCTAAAAAAAAATTGGATAAAGAAATTTTCTGAAGAATAACATTAAAAACTTGAGCAGAAATGCTTGACTTGACGATGATTTTTTTATTATTTTCATTTGGTTGAATATTTTCTAATTCTCTTCGAAAATAAGGAAATCGGAATTTCAATACGTTGGAATGTGCCGTAAACAATTTTTTCCTATTTTCAACTTCAATTATTACATTATAATCATCTTTATCATTAAGAGGTTCGATTAGATTTCGAGATTTGTCAAAAAAAAATTAAACGACATTTTTCTTTTTGTAAATTTAGTAAATTGAGTTAAATAAAGTGGTCCCAACTATTGACAATGGATTTATCGTTTGTTTTATTATAGTGTGAAAGAATAAATGAATGGAATCAATAAATATTATTTAGATATCGGAGCATAACTCTGTACGAAATACGTACACAATATATATTTATATTCATATTTAATCTATTTTAAAGAGATGCCGAAAAAAGGACAAACATTTTACAAATATTAAAATTTAAAATCAATTCTTGTTTTAAACAATTAAATCGAACTATTATTAGAATATCTATAAAAAATAAACCAATCAATAAAATAAATCTAAAATATTAAGACAACCCCCACGAAAAATGTTACCACCCGCCCATGTGACATAGTTTTGAAAGAACATATTAATAATTAATGTAATGTAACCCCTGAAAAAAAAATAAAATAAAATAAAATAAAAAGATACACAAAATTGATATTTAAACAATGTTTTAACAATCTCCAGGTTGTAATTCAGAATCTTCTGCGACTATTTTGAATAAATAAAAAATATAAATAAAATAATTAAATATATAAGAATAAATAAATAAAGATAAACTTACGAATTTCTTTTAATCCTTGATCAAAATTAAAGTATGCAAAAATTCCCCATGCCCATGTAAACTATAATAAGATAAAGTTGTGTGAGTGTATGTAGAATTTAGTCATTTTAATAATTATCAATATATATACTTACCAATGCTAATATGATACCAATTAAAACTGTAATGTAAAATGTAAATAAATAATAATGACGTTAAATAAATAATAATAATGATAAATAAATAAATACTGACGACAAATAATGATATTGATAATGATAAATAAATAAATAATAGCGATAAATAAATAATCATAAATGATAAATAATAATGATAAATAAATAAATAAATAAATAAACACATGACAATATAAAAAAAAGAATACTCACTAAAAGTAAACAAAAAATACCAATTATCCTCTAGAATTATCAAAGAATAACAAAGAATAGCTACAAAATCTAATATTACAATAAACCAAAGAGTAAAAAATATTTGCATTCCAGTTTTCCATTCTTTTCGAACCTATTAATAAATAAATGACAATAAATTTTAAAAAATCATTAAATAATAATCAATAAAAAAAAATAATTATAATTAATTAATAATATAATAAAATAAGAAATTAAACTTACTGATATTATTGCAGTAATTATTAAAAATACAATTAAAACCGAAATCAATTTATCCAAAATAATTGGCGTGTTAGGCAAATAAGTTTTCGACTTAAGTATACAATTAAACCACGTTTCAATGCTCAAAACCAGAAAAAATATTATATCAATCTTTATAAATAATATGAATATAAGATATGTTTTGTATCTTCCTAATAAAAATGATAAAAATAATAAGAATAATAAAAATAATAAAAATAATAAAAATAATAAAAATAATAAAAATAATAAAAATAAATAAAATCATAATAATAATAATTATAATAAAAATAATTAAATTTATGAATAATCAAATATAAAAGTTAAGAATAGAATATAAATTTAAATACATACTCTGCATCATAATGCAACCCTGAATCTTTCTATAAATATTCAAACCAAATTCCAAATATAAATTATAACAAAGAAATCCCACGATGGAAGTGAAAATCATAAGCACAATAATAATAGGTAAATCGTAAGATGTTATTTTGGCGGTAGAACAAACTGCATTTCCACATGTTCTTTGATGACTATGACACCAAGTAGATATTTCGATAAATTGAATCTTAACAAATTTTTATTATACATACATACATGTATATATATAGTAAGATTTAATTAATTAATATTAATATTAATGATAAAATATTAACAATACTTACTATGCTATATACAGAACGAAAAAAATTTAAAATTGTTATGGCTAATAGTTGAATAGTATTTTGTTTGTAAACCTAAATATTTAATAATTATTTTTATAAAATGATTAATATATAATAATAATTTAGAATAATTTATAATAATAATAATAATAATAATAATAATAATAATATATAACAATTTAGAATAATTAATAATAATTGACTGACAATATTATATTAAATAAATATAACATACCGCATCAATATTAAACCATACTTGAAATAGTTGAAAAATAATAAAAATAATATTTTCAGACTCAAGTCTTTTAATCTTTCCCGAAAATGTATCACAATTATTTGATAGACCCTTTCGTAAATTCATGTTTCGAGTGAATAATCTTAATTCAAGGATTATTGCCAATGTGACTTGAATTATTGTAATTAAAATGAAGAAGCGAATCCATTTCGAAGTATTTTTTATTTTTTTCAACTGAGATAATATTTTGATGATGATATTTAAGATATCGATAATATCATAATACATCGACCGAGAAAATTTAAAATAAGTACATAAATGTTAATATAAAGTTATAATTACGGATAATATATTTTCTTTTTTTGATTAAATATTTGTAACCTTAATTCACCTTATTTTTATAAAAGTTAAATGTTGACATTATTATTATTATTATTATTTAACTTCTTTTTTTTTTAAAAAAAAAACTATAAACCTTATGAGTCATTCAGTTATTATTATTTTATAACTTAGTTATTACTTAATTAATTATTTTTATTAATTAATTATTTTTTATTACTTAATTGTTTTTATTACTTGTATAGATATAAATTTATGTTTATTGTTTCCTTGGAAAACAGTCCTGCTGTTATTTCTTAATGAAAAATATAATAATAATTTCCTTAAAAAAAAAAAAAAGATATTTAAAAAATGGCATACTAATAAATCACTTGGGTTTTTTATATAGAATCAAAAAAAAAATAGATTTTACTTTATTTTGTTATATATGTTTCATCAAGATTATTATGCAATTAAATAATATATTTATTTTAACTAAATATTGGATTAGATTTAATTTTTTTTTTAACTAAAATATTGCATTAAATTAAAGAATGTTTTTTAACTAAATATAGATCGGATATCCGTGAATGATTTATTATAAAAGAAAAAATGTTATGGTAATTGAGAATATAAATGGAAAGTTAATTAGAGAATAATTAAACACAAGTTTTATTTTATTATTTTATTTTATACAAAGGTGTAAACAATACAATACAAAATAAATCATTTAGCATTGTCATTGTTTACATTATTGAGATTTTTAATTATCTTCTCAAGAATTAATAATTTAGGATTTTTTTTTTTATATATTGGTTCCGTTTTTATTTTTTATCAGACAAATACTCGTGTATAAAAATATGGCTCTTCCATTGTTTCTTTATTTGTATATTTTGATCATCAGTCACACAGTTTTATCTAAGCACATGTGTCATAATAAACAAATAATTTTTTTGAATACAAAACAAAAGCAGTGCTACATTCTTAATAAAAAAAATTTACCAAATAAAGTTTTTATATGTGAAATATGTGTAATATGTTGTATTTATTTATTCTACTAAAAATATCGAAATAATTTGATACAAATATTTGTATATTCGAAATAATAAATATAAGTAATTAAAATATTAAAAATGAATTTCTTATTACTCCCAGCGACTCTATAAATCAAACTGCCTAGTTTTTTAGTTAAAACATTTATGGACTTATAAAAATTATTTTTTTTTATAATAATTGATACATTTTAATATATATTGAAATTTAAGTAATTTAAAAGATAGAGAGAGAGATGTTATAACTATTTTAGATTGTAGCTGCATATGCACTCCCATAATCGTCATGCTTAGGCATAGTACCATCAGAATTAACTAGTGATTCACACGTTGCAAAAACAAAATAACTAAGAGGAGAAATCGAATCCACTCCTTGGATAGAGCTTTCACGCTTCCATAAACATGTCCACGTACCAAGCAAACTATCAACAGAACAAGAACTATCCTTAAGATGAGTTTGGTCGCTCAAAGGCTGTACATCAGAATAAGATGTTGCTTCACGATGAGAGATCATATATTGACTACCATTCTTATATGCAACCTATAATTGATAATTACGATTAAATTGAAATGTGTTTGAAATTACATAATTGAAATTATAATTGATTATTATATTTACCATCGGAAATGTGCCCACCATTTGGATTCCAGGTGCCATTGCAGCCCACCTAAATTATAAATAATAAATTAAATAATAAATTAAAATCAAATTGCGATAAATTAAAATTACAATAAATAAAAAATAATTAATTTAAAATAATTAATTTACTTAGTACTTAGTGGACATGTAATATAACACATCTTTTGCGTGTCAATAAGATTTATAATAGTAAAAACACAACCTGAAGCAGAATAAAAAACGCCACTCTTCACCACTGTTTGAAAAAAAAAGTATAATAATTCGGAACTCAATTCAACGATTCAATTCAACATCATAAGTTCAACGTTGACTTCTCAAGATATCTTAAAAATAATTCAATATGACTCAACATAATACAATTATTACCTTGAAATAATAAAAATAATAAAATATTTCTTTTCCACATTTTCGTTTTTTTCGGTATTGAAAAACAAATAAATTTGAAATCTGTAAAATTTTTTTTTTTTTTTGAAGAGAAGAAAAAAAAGCGACTTTTTTATATCTTGTAATGTTTCATTATTTGCTCATTTTACGGGTCTTCCGAATATTTTTTTTTTTTTAAAAAATTAGTTATTTTTAGTAATTCCTTTTTGATAAACGAATTTGTTTTACAAACGACGATCAACATAAATAAAATTTAAATCGTAAAACGATTGAATTACAAAATGTAAATGTAAAAATTACAAAATGCAAATGTAAAAATTATAAAATGTAAATGTAAAAATTATAAAATGTAAATGTAAAATTATAAAATATAAATGTAAATTATAAGATGCAAATTGTAAATTTCTGGATAATTTATTATAATTTATTTAATCTTAAATTCAGTTATCAATTTTTATGATAAAAAGTTCGTAGTAGTAAATTTCACTTCGCAATTTATTTAGTACTTGATTATTGTACGTTGTATTATTTCTTTTTATTGTGAAAGATCAACGAAATTTTATTTGCTTGTTTTTTTTTCAGAAAAAAAATTATTTTTATCTAATTTAACTCAACCAAATTTTTTTCCCAAAAAAAAAATAATTTTAATAATAAAGAATTTTCGTCATTATAAATATTCGAAATGTAGGTACGGTTTTTTTAATTTTAGATCTACTCCCTCCTTTAAAACACCAATGTGATTCTTTATTTGTAAGATAGTCCGATCTTCGCTATCTTCGCTTTTCAATTCGGTAGTACCCAATAACAAAAATTAATTATTCTGTCCCGGGTTAAAATACTATTGGGAACATTTTTGTTATCATCTTTTATTCTTTTCAATTTTATCTCCCATTTATGCGTAGATTATTATAATTTATTAAATTTATAAAGTTTCAATATAAAATATAAAAATAGGGACCGACCGTGATTTTCCGTTGAATATGGCCAATGAAATCGTGAATTTTTGTTTATGCTGATCAGTCCGACTAAACGACATATTAATATCTGCTACTTATAACATTAAATAATTTCGGGTGACATGATGGACATGGCTTTAGCTATCCAGTTAATTATAAAAGTTAAAATAAATTTTTATTTTTATTTTTTTTTATTATAAGAAAACGAGGAGATTATTAAAGAAACACAATTAATTTGAAGGAATTCGATTTTAATAATACTTGCGGGATAGTTATTAGAAATTCGAATTAGAGAACTTGATAAAATTGGTGCACCACTGGTGAAACCAATTCGAATCCTATTTTTTCGAATCGAATTTACGAGCAAGATAAATTATTTATTATTACTATTATTATTATTATTAATGGTTTAACTATTTATTTTTTTTTTCGTCGGAAAATTCACTTTTTGAGTGACAATTTTATAATTTTATATTTGCTTTTTAATTATCGATCAAAAGAAATAATTTTTGTGCAATTCTTTAATTTGATTAATGAACGAATGTATGATTTTTAACAAATCATTCGATTTTGTGATAATTTCTTTATTCATAAATAAAAAAATTCTCAATTCTTATTTATTTATTATATTCACACTTTAGTCTAAATAAATAAATAAATAATAATTGTTCAAATCACAGGATCAATTATTTCAACTATACTATTTTTAGAAAAAAATACCATAATATTGTATATACTAAAAATTTATATATATAAAAATTATTTCAAAAATATCCAGAGCTTTTGAATTTTTCTTCCTCCTCTTTCTCCTGTTCTGATGACAATTCGCTTTTCTCCTCTTCTATTTTGTCATCAGAGCCAAAAGTTTCTAAGCTGAATGCTTTGCTGTTTTTCATATTTTCCTATAAAATGAAAGATATTAAATTTTCAATTTTCAAGAAAAAATAGACTATTTTCTACTTACATTATTTTTTTTTGTCATAATTTGCAAATATTTATTATCATTTTTAATATTCTCATTTTTAGGATTCAAAAAAATTCACATAAAGAAATGGCAAAGTGATTTGTTCTGAAGGAGCTTTAGAAAAATCCATCCAAAGTCTGTTAAGAATTCTTCTGCACTTACATTAAGTAATCAACATTATGAAGTTATTGAAGAATATGAAAATTGTGGAGTTAAATTAAATTTGATATGGATGTAGAATAATATTTTAATAATATAACATTTCATATTAGTTTAAATTTTTAAATTTTTAAATTCATGATTTTATTGTTAAATTACATTAAATAAATTAAATAAAATATTATTTGAAATATTATTTTAAATATTTAATAATATGGAGTATTTAAGTGATATCAACACAACATAAATAGTTAACTAATTTGCTTATATTTAAAGGAATCATCTGAAACAACAGAAACGGATAGATCTAAATCTTTTAAAGCATATAAATCATGGGAGAATATAAATACAATTAATAGTTAATTATGGAATTACATTACAATTTTTTTAATTTCAAAAAAAAGCTATTTTATAATATGAATGCACAAGATAAATAATTGATGGATTGCTTGCTAGTAGAAAAATATAAAGTTACATAACCTTGCTACTAAAGTGAAGTGTTTTGTTGCTCTTGTAATTAAATTTTATTAATCTCCATGATTTTAATAGAATAATTAAATAAAATATAATTATCTAATTGATATCTCTTTCTTTTTTTTTCATCTGTAATATTAATGATATGTGTTTACCCATTCTTAATAATTCATATCTAAAAATTAATGTTAACTTTAATTATTTCATAATCAAAAATAGTGAAATTATCTATTCTAATATAGGTTTTCTATTATCTAAGTAAAATTAGAACCTGAACTATACATAGAAGGATCATATCCAAAATATAGAACACAATTTATTTACTACTTTTGTCAATATTTAAATTGACGATCAAATCTGATATATTACCATTTTACAATGAGAAAATAAATATTCATAACCAGTATTAACATTCAGAACTAAAGGATTGTATTCTTCGAATATTTCGTATGTTCCTTTAACTTTTATGATTACAACAGTACAGTACTAATATGACATGTATCCCAAAAGGCCTGAGGTGCAAATACACTTTGAATTAACTGAAATTCTTATGAGGAGTCTATTAAAGAATAAGTTCTCAATTTTTATGATCAATCCAAGAGAAAATTTCAGCAATATGTTTATAAGTAATAATGATGGAAAGTTGTTTCGTTTGTTTTGCCATATGGGTAAGAAATTCTTGAACTACAATTGTTCTTGGTGTTAAAATTATTGATCTTACTAATGCACCATAAATTGCTGATTCAAGTTGTTTATCAAGAATTTCTCATAAGGTTTTATTATTTTCCAAACACCAGTACTAAAAATATGGAAAATCATTCTTTGAGTTCTCAGGTAAAATGGAATCCTGAACAATTTCCTGCTAAATAATCTTTGATCTTCTAGTTGTAATAATAACATTAAAAAATTTTTGAAATTATTTCCACTAAAAATTGTACAATAAAATGTGACTTTTGGTTAATTCTTCATTAGCTGTCACCATTAAATCCAAATTAAACCTTGTTCAACATTCTCTAAATTAACAAATTCTCCATAAATATATCTTTATTGAAATAAATAAATATCAATTATCAAAGTTAATTTATGTAACTTTTAATACAGTATTTTTATTATTAAATAGTAATGCAATAACTTACTTAAGAATCATATCAAAATTTTCATCAGGAATATATGGTTTATTAATTGCCTTGATATTGTTTTCAATCAGATTTAAATGGAATTTATAAAAATCTATAGCACATTCCTATTGTTGAGTTTGAATAAGGTTCACAGAATGATTTAAATATCACGTTCAAGTAATAATGAATCAACATCTAAAAAATGGAGAAAAAAAATTAAAGAATTTAAGCATAACGGTAGGTACTGTGTCTAATTTTGGATGAGTAATTTATAATTCATTATTTGGTTAATAAATTAAAAATTTAAATTTATCACTTGTATAATAATAAAATAATTCAATTTTTGATCTACTGGCTTATCTGGATTAACAATTTTAATACTAAGTGGAAATCTCGAACTTCAATACATAATATAAAAAGAATCTATTTATTAATCAAAAGTTGATTATAATCATTTTCTAATGGAATATTGTTTTCAGATCATTTTGTTATTGAATTATGTTTAGCCACAATTAATTTAATCTTTTGTTTTTAATCATAATCCCAATCATTAATTATTGCTCTACATAAAGATTATATTAGAATTATTATTAATTGGATTGGTATCATGGTTACTAAAAAAAGATATTACTGTATCTCCAGGATGCAAAATAAGAATTTCGCGTGATTTAGATCTTATTATCTCCAAATCTGACACTTCGATCAATTTAAGATTAATATACATATTAAAAAATATAGAATGTAATGATTCTAAAATAAAAACAATTTTTCTTTCCTTTTTCTGTTCTGTAGTAATTATGAATAGTATCAATAATTTCATAAAATCATTGACCACCCAAATTCTCATAGGAATCACCATTTCAGTTTTTTTTTTTATATAATCATCCATTGATTAATGAATTGTTGAGATGCAGATTCATATTGAAGTTTATGTTTATAATATTTGGAATAATAAAAAGCCTTGATAATATTCAAATAGTTTCTTTAGTGTGACTGTGACCTATATAGAAAAGTAAAATATATTAGAAATTAATATATAAAATATTTATATCAAGAATAAATATATTAAATAATTGTATTAATAATAAATATATTAATATCTTGCTTGCACGATACTTTTGAATCATGATATATTTTAACTAATGTGTAAATTTTTGTAGTATTTATCAATAGATAAATAATAAATAGAATTTAAATAAACCGAATTTAAATAACCAATATAATTAATAACTTACTTCGTCCTTCTCTTTCAACTGATAAAATCTTTCAACCAATAAACAACCATGATCAAATCTGGTTCCAAGACCCTTCTTTATCACCAAGCGTTCTTTTTTTAAATTAATAACATTTTAATAATTATTACAACAATTTATAGAATATTTTAATTAAACTTACTAAATTTCATTAACATCAATCTCCTCTTTATTTTATTGATAACTCTGTTCCATGGTTTGGAGAGTTGCAGGGTTTTGATGACGAAAATAGTTTAACAGACTAAACTCTGGTTTGAATTCTTTATCATGTCGCTATCATGATAAATTAAATAAATTAAATTTTAAGTAATTGAAATATTTATAAGAGTTTAGAATATTAAAAATATCTCATCGTTTAACTTTCTCTCGCTCCAATTAAATTTTCCTTTAATTTAGGGACATTACATTAGGATTTGGGTTATTAGAATTATCCATTCCAGAATTGAACTAGGATCCAAACCTAACTTTGATGCAATAAAAACTTTCATTTATTAAAAAAATAATAATAAATAATTAAAAAAAATAATAATAAAATCTATAAATTAGATTCGAATAATAAGATCTTACAAGTAATTCAGACTTTTGTTCGTACGTCCAGTCAGAACCAGTTAACTATGGTTTAACCTTAACATTCCAAAGAGAGTCATCATTTTTTTCGTGCGTGGAAATTGCCTTCTCCATTCACTGTGGTCTATGATCCCTAGACTCAGCAACTATGCCGTAATAATTATAACATTAATACATTTATAGATAATTTCTTTCATAATATTGAAGCTTACCTTGTAAAACTTATATTTTTTTGACGGTTGTTCTGTCTCATCATAAAATATGGTACATTTTCAATAGATTTTGTTTATTTATTTCTACTTTCTACTTCTAGATCCTTGAATTCCATGGTCTTATCATAAATACGAGCATATAAAGAAACTTTAAGATTTCTAAATCTTTTATTTCCCATGTCTTGAAAAATATAAAAAATTGAGTATTGGCCAGCAGGTCATTCTTCTAAAAATTCTGCTCATTCTTTTTGCAAAAATTCCATTCAATAAGGGATATGTTTATTATGTACCAAAGAACATTTTATTAAAACTTAGTCTAATGGAAGAAAGCATTTAAATAAATTAAAAAATAAATAAAGTAAATAAAAAAAATTAAAATAAATCAATAAATAAATTTACCCTTTGGAATATTTTCATATGTTGTTCTTTTTAATGCCTTTCTTGATGAAATGAAAATTAAAGAATTAATTATGAAAGAATGAAATAATTAATAAAATAATAAATGAATAAATTACTTACTCAACCACCATCATTAAGTGAAAGGGTGCAAAATGAAACCAAACAAGTGAAGGTGAAATGACTTTTAATGCACCAATGGCTGAAAGATAACTTGCTAAATCAATCATGACTTTTGAAAATTATTAAATGCTAAATCACTCTTTTCATTTTCTTGGCGTATTGATATATAATACGTGCAACCACATAAATAAATAAACAGTAATAATAATAATAATAAATAAATAATAATGAATAAATAAAATATAAATGACAAATAATAATTAAATAATATATACCATCTCTAAAGTCTTTATGAGAAATATAATTCGAATAACTAATCATCGAATAATTAGAATAATTAGATGGTTCAGATGGAATAAGATTTCAAGCATGAAATTCAGGTATTTGTTCCATATCCTTTTGAAGATCCAAAAATTGGATATTTTTGAAGTTTTATACGTCCACATAATTCTTTTAGGAATGGACGAAGATTGAATATTAAAAATAATTTTCATCATAATCATCACCATTGTTATTACTAATTATATGTAGATCAGGGATTTGTCATCATTGCTTTATATGCTTCACCAAACATGTCTATTTTAAATGCATTACTGAAAATCATTGAACTGAAGTTTGATACCTTTAATTTAAAAAAAAAGTATAAATGTTAATATAAAAAGAAATAATAGTAAAAAAATAAATAATAAATAAATTTAAAATAATAAATAATAACAATTAAATAAATAAGTAAATAAATAATAAAATAACTATAAATAAATAAAATTAATAAAATTAAATAAAAATAAATAAAAATACTCACAGAAAGCTGCTCCAGTCCAAATAAATTTTCAGCTGCTTTCTCATATTTACGTTTTTTAATAATTGTCCAATCAATTTAAAGGAGTTTCTAATAAGAATTAACATATTGTTGAAGATATTCAATAAATCCCAAAACAATTAATAATTTACCAATCAAAGATTTGGAATTTTAATGATAAAAGGTATTGTTTATGAATAAACAATATCTTAAATCCAGAATTAGTAATTCCTCTCAATCACTCCATCTTCTGCTTTCACCATTATTGATCTATCTTGCCATTGTCGATTGTTTTTGTTTAAGGTTAATTATTGATTCAGAATATGCAGATTGTTTAGGTACTCATTTAAGAATTATATAATCGCAAAAAATTGACATACTCATTGATACCCTTTGATTTCCTCCATTAATTTCCGTAATTTGGTTTCGATAAAAATAAGATATAAATTATGAGCTATTGTATAATGTAATTGAATAACATCAGTTTAATTCTTTCCCCGGTAGTTATAATATTCCCAATATTTCCAATATTCTCTATTTTATTATCGCTACCACTACTACTTATATTATTATTGCTGCTGTGCTGTTGTTTCCATCCCTTTCGAATAAAACATCATTAAATATGGATAAAAATATATATAACTAATTCTAATTATTATGTTTTGTTTTTTCTTTAAAAAAAATAAAACTTAACTTACATCTTATTTATCTAAATTCGAACACCAATGTATTACTAAAATATTATTAAAAATCCAAGCTAATAAAAAAACTTTAAATGACATGTGCACAAATGTTTTTCTTTAAACCGGATTAAACTGGACGATCTCCGCGAATATCGATGTCAAAAGGATGAAGCACATGCCATTTTGTAGCTAAGAGCAAGGCTGTTCTCTTTAGCTTAGAAAAAGCTTAGTAGAAAATCGCTCTACGTCTTGCAACTCGCGAGCGAAGTCGAAAAAACGGAAAAAGCCCGCACAAAAAAACTTGCGCAAATTTGCGCGGGTGATTAAAATTTGCGCAAATTTTCGGCTAATAAAATTTCCTGATGAAGTGGTAAATTATAATTTTAACTACTAATTACTAATCAAGAAGAGGCTGTGTTTGTAAAAAAAACTTTGAATAATTCTTGATTGTCATAATAACCATTTTCTTATTTAAGTGACCATTATTCATAGAGGAAAG